AAATCACTTTTAAACCAGGTAATGCGTTTTTATAAACAACGCCATTTTCTGCCAGTGTGCGGCTCCGACACATGCTCTGTCATAGAAAGCTATGAGAGAATCAATTACTGGTGACCTTTTAAATTGATTGATGGCACGTAAGCACTTTAAATATACACACAGTACAAGAGCGTGCACATCCAAGGAGAATCATATCCACTCTACCTCAAATTTGGTTTAAGAAATCATTTTCACAATCATTCATGTTGAGGCAGTTACTTTTTTTTAAAAAGCCTTCATTTAATATGTTTTTGGATAAGGTTTTTAAATGTTTCATATTTTTAAAATGAACTTTTAAAATGTATTTAGAATTCAAAGATATCATATACAACACAAATCAATATACAAAAAAAATCGACATTAAAATATTTTTCTAAATATTAAATCCTTTTAAATGTTTATCCTCAAATATTAATTTGAGGCCAAACTCTTTAGTTAAAAACAAAACAAAACAGCAAAAACGTATGTATGTGTGTTTGTGTGCATAGCCACAGTTATAAGCCAGTTATAGTAAATAGCCCCTTTGTTCCCGGACCTTGAATGACTCTTTAAGTGCTTGTCTTCCGCTGCCAAGCCTACATTTTATTAACTTCTCAAAGGGGAAAAAGAATAAGTAACAAATATTAGGAGCATAACTACGCCTAGCGTGGCAGTAATTAGAAATAAATGAAGATATGAGCTTATTTGCCTGTGCATAGGACTAATAAATGTTTAAATCCATGGTTAACTAAACATAATTTATTACTGTGATTGATCTCCCGTAGGATAGCAAAGTATAGAAGTATGCAATAAAGGACGAGGACTGAAACCTAGAATTTTTCGTGTGAATAAGCTGCGTTGGTTCTCTGCGCTCGTAGGTACTGCAGTGATTACATGTTCAACCTGACTATTCCAAGACATTATCTGCTTTTTACACTAAAATCATGAACATTTGCCAAACTATTTTCAATATTAAATGAATTAAAATAAAATTAATTTAATAAAAAAAATAAAACTATATTAATTGACCATGAGAATATTTTTATTCACTCCATGTATCAAGTGAAATCTCTCAGAATTACCTTGAGACCCACCACCACGAGGTTGACACCAACCCCCGATTCAGTAGCCATAGGCGATTGCTCCATGAGGTGGGTACATATGCCGACTATAAAAGCACTCAAACAACAGCCGACCCCCTTCCTCTTTGCTGTCCTTTTCTCTCTCTTCATCGTCCTCTTGAGGGTCTGCGACAACACGTAATAAAGTGTTAAGTATTTGAACTGAATTTTCTCTGTTAATGGTAATATTTTTACTTCATTCATTACATTAACCTTTGTCGTCAGAATACACGTTGGCCATGATGGAAGCAGAGACCGCATACAGCTTCAATAGTCATATTAATTAAAGCCAAATGTTAAAAAAACACGAGTACAACATGTGATGTAGAACACAACTGTAAAATTCATGACGGCAAACCAAAAATAAAGAATTATATAAAAAAAAAATTACCTTGAGACCCCAGGTAACTAACCAGTCTCCCATAGACCATGACAATCGGCTAGTTCAGTCTAGAATCTGCTCATTCAGACAGAGAATCTGCACATTCAGACTGAAACATGTTGAGCCACCAAACAGTGAACTGCAATGCATTAAACAGGTGAGAAAAAAGTATTTTATCTCCATATTAGATGACCTTCGGCACCCCAGATATTGCGGAGTAATTCTTCCACAATGTTTTTACAGCTATAATGTTGTCAAAGCTTCAAGAGCTATGTAGTCCACAACATCTGGAGTACAAAGGGTTGTCTGCCCCTGCTCTATAGAATCTGAATATTCCTCCTGAAAACTGTTTCACTAACACCCTGAGAATCTGCACTTACTACTTAAAAAAAACTGCCTATTCACCTTGAGACCCTGAGAATCTGACCATTTACCCTGAGAATCTGACCATTTACCTTGATATTCTGAGAATCTGACCATTTACCCTGATAATCTGACCATTTACCCTGACAATCTGGCCATTTATCCTGAGAATCTGACCATTTACCTTGATATTCTGAGAATCTGACCATTTACCCTGGGAATCTGACCATGTACATTGAGACCCTGAGAATCTCACCATTTACCCTGAGAATCTGACCATTTACCTCGATATTCTGAGAATCTGACCATTTACTCTGTGAATCTGACCATTTACCCTGGGAATCTGACCATTTACATTGAGACCTTGAGAAACTGACCATTTGCCCTGATAAGCTGACCATTTACCTTGATATTCTGAGAATCTAACCATTTACCCTGAGAATCTGACCATTTACCCTGGGAATCTGACCATTTACATTGAGACCCTGAGAATCTGACCATTTACTCTGTGAATCTGACCATTCACATTGAGACCTTGAGAAACTGACCATTTTCCCTGATAAACTGACCATTTACCTTGATATTCTGAGAATCTAACCATTTACCCTGAGAATCTGACCATTTACCCTGGGAATCTGACCATTTACATTGAGACCCTGAGAATCTGACCATTTACCCTGAGAATCTGACCATTTACCTTGATATTCTGAGAATCTGACCATTTACCCTGGGAATCTGACCATGTACATTGAGACCCTGAGAATCTCACCATTTACCCTGAGAATCTGACCATTTACCTCGATATTCTGAGAATCTGACCATTTACTCTGTGAATCTGACCATTTACCCTGGGAATCTGACCATTTACATTGAGACCTTGAGAAACTGACCATTTGCCCTGATAAGCTGACCATTTACCTTGATATTCTGAGAATCTAACCATTTACCCTGAGAATCTGACCATTTACCCTGAGAATCTGACCATTTACCTCGATATTCTGAGAATCTGACCATTTACTCTGTGAATCTGACCATTCACATTGAGACCTTGAGAAACTGACCATTTTCCCTGATAAGCTGACCATTTACCTTGATATTCTGAGAATCTAACCATTTACCCTGAGAATCTGACCATTTACCCTGGGAATCTGACCATTTACATTGAGACCCTGAGAATCTGACCATTTACCCTGAGAATCTGACCATTTACCTTGATATTCTGAAAATCTGACCATTTACCCTGTGAATCTGACTATCTACATTGAGACTCTGAGAATCTGACCATTTACCCTGAGAATCTGGCCATTTACCCTGAGATTCTGAGAATCTGACCATTTACCCTGAGATTCTGAGAATCTGCCCATTTACCGTGATATTCTGAGAATCTGACCATTTGTTCTAACATTAGAATGAACGATGGCGATTCCCAAACAGTATATATTGTTTAACTTTCCAGGATCATTTGGAGTTTAGATCTACTCTACCCCACCCCAACCCCCACCAAGTGCTTATTCCTTTACATCACATTCACACCTCTCATGCACACAAAGTTAATTAAATGTTAATCAGAGCAATGTGCTTATAAATATAATGTATTAATATATGGATGAATTTATTTTCTTCAAGCTTTTCAGTGTCAGAATAAAGCGAAGCAAAATCCCACTAAAGTATTCAAATAAATCATAATAAGGATATTTTTATTAAAAAAAAAAAAGAAAAGAAACAAATACAATGTATAGATATGCATGAAAACGCGGTGTACAGTAAGTAGGGTGTTATTACCTAGAATTCTGCAGAGAGGATGCTTTGATACCCCGTCTTTAATGCTTTGGAAAACAGGTTTAAGTGTGAAAATCCCTCTTGGATCACATGCTTTTTCCTTTTTATATTAGCAGATTTAATGTAATTACCAGACATCTGTCTCACTGTAATCTAAAGTCACCCACTTCCTTCTGAATTTGCAAGGAACATATGATATGTAAAGTGTGGAGATGAAATTTATTCAGTGACTTAGGTGACTAAGTGACACCCCCTCCTCCAAGGAAAAAAACACTTAGTATATTCAAGGAAATCTCTCACTTATTATGAAAGCAACTTATACCCTAGAAATATTAGGCTTATTCACTAAACCCTGTCATTGCTGGGTTTTCTCATGAGTTGGAAATTGCCAAATATCAAGTTAAGAAAATTCAACAGACCCTGGTCTCTAAAGTCTGAGTTTGTTGGTATTTCTTAGCAAGTCAGATCATGTTCAATTCAAGGTCAGTTTAAGAGCTGCAGGATTCACTGATCAATCAATGGATAGCTGCAGAATTCAATGATCAATCACTTGATAGCTACAGAGTTCACTGAGCAATCAATGGATAGCTGCAGAGTTCTCTGATAAATCTGGATAGCTGCAGGATTCACTGATCAATCAATGGATAGCGGCAGATTTACTGATCAATCAAGGGATAGCTGCAGAGTTCTCTGATCAATCAATGGATAGCTGCAGGAATTACTGATCAATCAATGGATATCTGCAGAGTTATCTGATCAATCTGGATAGCTGCAGGATTCATTGATCAATTAATGGATAGCTGCAGAGTTCACTGATCAATCAATGGATATCTGCAGGATTTAATGATCAATCAATGGATATCAACAGGGTTCACTAATCAATCAAGGAATAGCTGCAGAGTTCTCTGAGCAATCGATAGATAGCTACAGGATTCTCGGATCAATCAATGGATAGCTGCAGTGTTCTCTGATCAATTGATGGATAGCTGCAGAATTCACTGACTAATCAATGGATAGCTGCAGAGTTCACTGATCAATCAATGGATAGCTGCAGAATTCACTGATCAATCAATGGATATCTGCAGGATTTACTGATCAATCAATGGATATCTGCAGAGTTCACTGATCAATCAATGGATATCTGCAGAATTCACTGATCAATCAATGGATATCTGCAGAATTCACTGACTAATCAATGGATAGCTGCAGAGTTCACTGATCAATCAATGGATAGCTGCAGAGTTCACTGATCAATCAATAGATAGCTGCAGAGTTCTCTGATCAATCGATGGATAGATGCAGAGTTCACTGATCAATCAATGGATAGCTGCCCAGTTCACTGATCAATCGATGGATAGCTGTATGATTCACTGATCAATCAATGGATAGCTGCAGAGTTCTCTGATCATTCGATGGATTGCTGCAGAGTTCCCTGATCATTCGATGGATAGCTGCAGGATTCTCTGATCAATCAATGGATAGCTGCAGTGTTCTCTGATCAAATCGATGGATAGCTGCAGGATTCTCTGATCAATCAATGGATAGCTGCAGTGTTCTCTGATCAAATCGATGGATTGCTGCAGAGTTCCCTGATCATTCGATGGATAGCTGCAGGATTTACTGATCAATCAATGGATAGCTGCAGTGTTCTCTGATCAATTGATGGATAGCTGCAGGATTTACTGATCAATCAATAGATAGCTGCAGGATTCACTGATCAATCAATGGATAGCTGCAGAGTTCTCTGATCATTTGATGGATAGCTGCAGGATTCACTGATCAATCAATGGATAGCTGCAGAGTTCTCTGATCATTTGATGGATAGCTACAGGATTCTCTGATCAATCAATGGATAGCTGCAGTGTTCTCTGATCAATTGATGGATAGCTGCAGGATTCACTGATCAATCAATAGATAGCTGCAGAGTTCTCTGATCATTCGATGGATAGCTGCAGGATTTACTGATCAATCAATAGATAGCTATGGGATTCTGTTTTTATTCGGTGAAGATGAGCAGGGTTCATGGTTACTTTTAAAGAGAGCTGTTGAGTTAATTCGTCAGTCTGCAGAAAGCTGCCTGGTTCAGGATACTGTCTATGGAGAGCTGTAGAATTACCTGCTAAGTCTGTGGAGTGTTGCAGTGTCCATTATTTAGACTTTGAAGAACTGTTTAGCCTCTGGGAATCTGCATAGTTGAATGTTAAATCTATGACAAGCTGAAGGATTCAATGTTCAGTATATGGGTGATCTGTCGGATTCAATATTATATCTATGGATACTTGGAAACATCCTCTTGAAATGTATGTTACATGAACACAATAACCACTACATCCCACTGGGCAATTGTTAAAACATTTGACTACTTACTCTGGGACGGCACAACAGGCTAAAGTGGTTATGGTGATTGGAGTATCTCTTTCAGTCTAGTTGCAGTGGTCGACCTTCAGTCTAAGGAGATATACCGCGTTCAATATTTCAAGCACAGGTAGCTGGACTCAGCAGGTTTCTGTTACCGGAAGGTTTCCTGATGTATTCCTGATAGGTTTACCTGAAAACACAAAACCAAATTGAATTCAGAAAAACTTTGCCGGTATCTGTAACTAATTACTACTGGCAGAATGTTTTACTCAATCTGTGAAACAAAAGGCAAAAGTGAATTAAAGGGCACTTGTCACGGTGCACATAACGTACATTAGTTTTAAAGGACATTGATTACATTTAAATGGGATTCTTCCCCCACCTGTCAATCAGCTCAGGGTCAATAAACTCATTCTCTGACAAGTTCACTTTAAGAATGTTGTTGTAGTTGATGTGCTAATGTCTCAAGTATTTACCAACACTTCACAGCAAAAAAGCAAAAAAGTTCTAGAATCGCCCACGCACAGCACTCACTGCGACATGATCCATAGAAGGTGCATATCAGGAGAAACCAAGACAAATTAGCTGTTTGTTTGACATCTGATACAAATTCAGACGTCTTAATACATACTGTGAGGCCCAGAGAAACACGAGATGAAGGGCTTGCGATGGTATCTATTTATAAAGTATGTCTTGCTCAGTGTGTTTCTGGACTAAGTACAGTTGAAATGGATAAAAATGTACGAAACATAACATATTGCAATAATCCTTTAATAACTCCTTTCTCCTGATAACAATGCACTGAGCTCCGTGCCTCCTGGCTGGATATTAAGAAGATTCTGATCCCCTGATCTGATTAAAATATTTTCTCGATAACATAGTGCAATGCGCCAGTATCATTAAATAACGGTTTTAAAGGGATATTGTCATAAAACAATATTGTCGTATCATATAGATGGTAATTTTACCACTGTGAAGACTATCGCGAGTCGAGATAATCAGAATTCCATATTGCACCAACTGTGGAATGCGTTAAAACCTCAGTATCCCAGGTTGTACTCTTGGCAGGTTACAGAATCTGAGATCAATTGAATGAATGCTATTGAGTTGGGTAACAGTGACACCTCTTCATGTAATGTGAGAGCATGTAAGTGAATTTAAATCACAATAAATCAGTGCAGAACATAATCCCCCTCGCTACCATTTTCTTATCTTCTGCGTCCAGTCTCAATGGTTATGTTTCCCTTGGGAAAGGAAAAATATATTTGCCAAAATGTTGTGTTAATATTCAGTACATTGATTTGTGTTGCTGGATTGCATTTGTATTGAATTCTACTCTATTTTGGGCTGCTGTAGCCATTGATATATAGTTTTTTTTTATATTCTGATTCAATAAAAGTTTTTTTGTATACATATTTTGGTTTCATGCAGTTTTGACTAAATGTTTGGTTCTCCTCCTTGGCGAGAACAGATAGAACAAACTACTTAGTATTCCGCAGTTTTTTACGTCATTATAATCGATCCTACAGAGCACTAGTTTACACGTTATTGGGTGGCATTCTGCCTTTGGCCTGGAGGCTACTGAATTCACCAGACAATGCCAGGACACTGGATATAGTAATGTATCTGAGAGTCCCTAAAACATTAACAATTATTGTCAAATCCTTCTAATCGGGGCAAAAAAACGCGTTTGTTGTTGAATAGACAGTTCGGATGATGTGAATAGGTGTAAATACCTGTTTTACCAGTCATATCGCCTGGGCCTCAAGCTGCCAGGAATGTCTGTCTGAGAAAAGTACAGATATTTTAAGAGCTATCATCTGGTGTGGATGCAGCATATGTAAATATCACCAAAGAAGACAATAGCAAATCACCATGTGTCCAATGTTTATGTTAGGAGAGGCTTAGGAAGTGAGTACAATAAATATTTACAGCTGGCAGTAGAAGGAGGATTTCTGGAGACAATGCCAGCTGTGCTTTGCCCAGGCGATTAACGCTTATGAAATGGAATGTGGATGAGATGGTGAGATGCCTTGAGTGGTCAATGTGTTATTTCAGCATGGATGGTTCATTGAACGGCATTAGGCTTTCTGTCAAGGAAGATTTGTATTAAATTTTGCAGCTGTATTTAAAATGGTCTGAGTGTTTGTGGTTGTTTCTGTTTATTTTTTAACAAAGTTACTTAGGATTATAAAAGGCAACATACAGATCTGATTGATAGATGAGATCATAGATGAGAAATTGGTTCAAATTGGGTTTTTCACCTTGTTTCAGAAACAAGTGTAAAAGGATGAATTTAATGGGCATTTCTGCTTTTTGTTATTACTATGTCGCTGTTGTTATGTGTTTAAAAAAAAAAAGAACTAAAAATGCAAACAAAAAAATATACAAGATAAGAAAACATCAGACCTAGAGCAGTGAGGCTCCACCAATCAGATATTTTGTTCTCTGCGATTTCATCTTATCCCATAAACCCACAAACCTCTGCTTATCACTGGGATGGGTTGGATCAAGGATAGGCAACCTTCGGCACGCCAGACGTTGTGGACTATATCCCCCATAATGCTCTTACACCCATAATGCTGGCAACGCATCACAGGAGGTGTAGTCCAAAACATCTGGAGTGCCGAAGGTTGCCTATGCCTGGGTTGGATAATCTGATAGCAGCCATACCAGAGCTGATCTCACTGTAATAAGTGCAAGGGGGAGATTGACCTCAGGGAGTGTTTATTATTAGCTAATGCTGCAAATTGCTGCAGTAATAATTAACTGTGCACTGCGACAGAAACAGGGACCTTCTACGCTAAGAGCGTCATTTTATGATGTACTTCTTTAATATAAATGGTTTTTGGATGTCATCAATATATTTCACTGTATCTTTGTCAAGTGAGTCTAATGTTTCTACAAAGAGACATTTCAGAAATATTTCAGATATAATAACATATTTAAATGAAAATTAAGAACTCTGGTTGGACTTAAAATGATCACAAAAAGCCCAACAATGTGAATTGCGGTGGTTTGAACACAGGAGCGTTTAGTGTATATGAAGCTACATAAATATATCCACTTAAAGGACATCAGTTACCTCAAAACTACTATTTAATATAATAATCCTTTCATCAAGTTTTTAAAGGAATTATATGTTAAATAGAGAGAGAGAGAAATATGTTAAAGAGAAGAACCTTAGTATACCTTTAGTATATGACAAGATCTTTCAGAGTTTGAAAATGAACAGTTAGTCATGTACTAAAGGCAGGGTTTGCGTTTTTCTAGTCTTTTGCAAATACGTCATTTAAAAAAATAAAAATAAATATTTCCTTTCAAAACTTGATGATTAGTATATAAAAAAATAGTTTTGATGTGACAGTTGTCCTTTAGAGAAACACAAACATGTATTCCTGACACTATAGTGTTAAACTAACTATTTAAGTCCCCGGACCCCTCCGATCTCATGGGAAACGTGTTTTTACTCACCTTTTCTCCCACATCATGCCGGTCTCGCCCTAGCTGGCCACGCTTCTATGGCTGATATTATCAGTTTTGATGATCTCAGCCAATCCAATCAATGAATCTCTATGGGGGGCGTACAGCTTCTTTTTGCAGAATGTGGAGACACTCAATATAGGTTCTGCTCACTATGCAACATTGAGATAGGAAGCACCTCTAGTGGCTGTCTGAGTGACACTATAGTGTCTCTTTAAGCTGTGTGATGATTCAGCTCCCAGCCAATCACTATGCTCCACCAACCCTAGTTCTCTAATCCTATTTTCAGCACCATAGTATGGGACAGCTCACTGCAGACTTCATGTCTCCCTTTAGCAGCATTAAAGGAACACTATAGTCACCTAAATTACTTTAGCTAAATAAAGCAGTTTTAGTGTATAGATCATTCCCCTGCAAGTTCACTGCTCAATTCACTGTCATTTAGGAGTTAAATCACTTTGTTTCTGTTTATGCAGCCCTAGCCACACCTCCCCTGGCTATGATTGACAGAGCCTGCATGAAAAAACTGGTTTCACTTTCAAACAGATGTAATTTACCTTAAATAATTGTATCTCAATCTCTAAATTGAACTTTAATCACATACAGGAGGCTCTTGCAGGGTCTAGCAAGCTATTAACATAGCAGGGGATAAGAAAATCTTAATTAAACAGAACTTGCAATAAAGAAAGCCTAAATAGGGCTCTCTTTACAGGAAGTATTTATGGAAGGCTGTGCAAGTCACATGCAGGGAGGTGTGACTAGGGTTCATAAACAAAGGGATTTAACTCCTAAATGGCAGAGGATTGAGCAGTGAGGCTGCAGGGGCATGTTCTATACACCAAAACTGCTTCATTAAGCTAAAGTTGTTCAGGTGACTATAGTGTCCCTTTAAGAGTTGTTTTAGAGAGGATTTAACCAGGTTAGAAAGTTTTACAATATTGTTTTTTTGCAGTTCAGTTAGTTATTATAGGGTGAGAAAAGGACAACACAATAATTTAGCTATTTAACGACTATGAGACAAGTAAGATAATGGCTTATTTAGGTATGGTTTTGTTTTTATAAGAGAAGCATCTGTTATAACGGTGAATACAGAGCTCACATTTTAAGGTCTGTGCTGTTTTTTAAAACGTCATTGCTCCTGCTGTATCAGATTCTTGGTTTCGAAATCAGTGTAAGAAATCTATTTAATGGGTGGTGTAAGCACCATAATCACTGCAGTTCATTCTTCCAATTCTATGTCAGATGTTTTTTGATGGGTTTAAAAAAACAAAGCGGGTGTCTGAGAAACCTACTTTTTTTTGACGGACAAAAATCCCACTAAAATCCATTTAATTCCAGATAGCACACTTCATAATATGGTAATGCCCAAGCGGTGGTCAGATATGTAAAGGGCCTCTAACTGCAGGTATTTCCTAACTTTGAAAAAGGAAAAAATAGGAACTGTTTTTAAATGGATGTAGGTGAAGATGTGCAGAGAGAGTGAGACTAGTTTAAATCAATTCATGACTTATCAAAATCCATTAATTTTATTGTTATTCATTTCGATCAAAAGCATCATGCTATTCACAAATACTTATTTAGAAAAACTGAACAGCGGCCTAAATTTACTTTATTCAGAGTTTTATAGCCTCAGATCTCCGTACCTGTACACAAAACCCCTAAGGTAGGAGAGATGAACGTAGGGATTTTGGTCCCAAAGAGGAAGCATCCGTTTGAAAGGGCACCGCCACCAGGGGAGGTGACACTGGAAGTGTGCGTGCCTGCGCATTGCTAAAAGGATATTAGCAGACTATTATTCTCAGTTGATAATGACAGACAGTAAAGTTACTTGGAATTCAATAGCAGCATAACGGCTAGAAAAACTGCAAACTTAAAGAGACCATTATTTAACAACGAATCGATAACACGATGTGGCCAGACACTCAATATTCGCTGCTGCAGTCTGCGCCGGCCTTTTAATCTTCGGCATAATCTATTTAGGGATCCCTGCACTTCGCACACTGATCCCTGGTTCAGGGCTGAGTATACTGCCAGGACTGTATAAATATGTGCTATTAATTATCCATTAAACCCACACTCTGCCAGCACTCAACACATCTGCGTCTCTCGGGATCGCGGCGCCAGATGCACATTTGTTTAGCTGTGAGAATAGAGAACTTGTTTCTCTGCCAGTGAGTGATCAGGTTAACCCCTTCTCGACAAGGCGTCACTTAACAGAATTACTGGGGCCACACAACATTTAGCAAAAACAATAAAAAAAATAATATGTTTGTTTTGTTTATTTTGTTTTTGGTTTTCTCTCTTTTTTTATGTTTAAATCTTAATTTAATAATATTGTGTACACAATGGTTTATTTGATCCACTATGTGGTTATAAGCATGTGTTGATAAATTGGTAAAGTTTACAGTAATTGACCAGTATTGTGTAAAGTATGTAATAAGATTTGTGTACACATAAAACTTTAAAAAACAAACAAAAAAACAATAAAATAATAATAATAATAATAATAAATAACTAACAGCTTGTGTGATTATTTCGTTTTTATTGCAGTCCCAGCTATCGCAAGTCTCAAACACCCTTAATCCTCCCTACTGAGAAAACCTTGTGCATGGGTTAGAGAATTTCAATTCAGTCCCAGGAGAGGATGCCTTGTTTCAGATCGATATAGACTCAGTTTCATTTTTGTTTTCTAAAATATTTTGTTTAAGTTTTTTTTTCTTTTTTTCTAGAAACCACCAACCTGCAGACAGGAATATCTGTTAGTTTTGCCATCGTTTGGAATCATATATAGAGAGATCAAAGAATATGCAATTGGATATTGCTGGTGGAGCCAAGTGATATCTTGCCACTCTGTACATGTGATTTGTGATGGCAAAATATTACCAAGTACAAATAGCCTAAAAAAAAAAGGACCTAAAAATAAAATAGATTTATTGCTAACGTTCAGGTGTTCCTTTTGTTTTTTTTTTTTGTTTTTTTTTAATTTATGGCCACATTAAAAAAAAAAAAAAGAAAGAAAAATATATTAAAAAACCCAAAACCTAAACATTAAAGTTACCTGTAAAATAATTACAAATTAGAGATCCAGAAAAAGCGAGGCCCATCCCTATTTGTGACATCACTGTGCAGTACCGTATGCAAATGATTGCACATCACTTGTAGCAGTTAATTTGCATAGAGTGTGGCAGAGATACATTTACATCCATTCTAGAGGCTGATCTTGATTTCATTATAAAACACGGAGGCTCGTATTATGCTTATCTCTTTCTATATTTCCTCATCAGCAAAGAATTGATTGTATATACTTAATTGGAAAAAACAAAACGATAGTAAACTTAGCAAGATTTAAACATCACATTGTAATTGCCAACGAGAATGACTCACAGTATATAACCTCCCATGTAAGCCTAAACCACTCCTCTTTCTTTGCTTCTAAGATTCTTAACCTTACTCTGTCTTTTTTATGGTACTGTTATTTGTTTACCTTATGATAATTGTGTTGTTTTTTACTGTTTTATTACTGTGTATGTTGTTACCTGTTTTATTAGGGAGTGTTCTGTGACATTGGTTTTTTTCCTGACTCAAGTGTCTCTTATTTGTAGGGTCCCCTCCCCCCTACTGCTACCCCTCATTCCCCTTCCCTTTCCCACCGGCTTGGTTGTAACTTTATTTTTCCATTCTTGCCTATCTTGTTTCAGGTGAGTGCGTCAAGGGCAGTTACAGGTTCACCTCCTAGTAGTCTTTTGTTTCACCTGATCTTGGTCACATGTTGCTGCCCATCCTTCCCCCGGACATATTAAGTTGTCATACATTAGATAAACCAATTGCTTGTACTTCAGCTATCTCCACTACAATTTCTTTACCCTCTGTCCAGTCTGGGGACCCGGCCCATTCTGAGGATGAGGAGATCTCACAGCAGCATATGAACTCTGAGAAGTTCAATTCACTCCTTGATGCTACAATAACCATCACGGTTATTACGTGACATTACGGTCACGTAAGCAATCTATACCCCAATGGGAGTGTTGTCGGATAATTTGTCTCTCTCCATTAGTTACTCCATCTGGCCTGCCCAATGCACTTTTGGTGCCCCTCCCTCTGACCCCTCTGAGACAAAATAAATAAATGCCCTCTCAAAACTGTCTCGCACATTGCCCGTGACACTCCTGATCACACAGGATCACACTATTCCTACGGAAAGCTGGGTCGATGGCCAAAAGAGGCCTTTGTATGACTGGAATGCATATACAGTATTGGATATGGAGAGATGAAAGGCAATTCTGATAAAAATAAAATCTAAGCTAGTGAATCTATCCATATCTCAGCCTGGGCAAAAGGCCTTCTTTTTCGGTGATAATTATTAAAGGAGCTTGGCACGTCATCTCGAGGTTCTTTTTATGAGAATCGAGGCCAGCTAGAACCAACACAACACAGGTCAAATCAACTTCATTCTTCTTTCCCATCTGTGGCAGACCTTAACAGTCTCGCAGAGCTAGAAAAGCCTTCAGTAGGGGCAAACCTTATGGTAAGTCCTTTATTTACCCACCTTTCTTCCCTTAGACAAGTAGGGGGCAGACTTTTTCTCTTTTTCAGAGATTGGAGCATGTTAACTCCAAATGCATTCATACTACGAAGAATTCGAGGTTCCCGTATCGATTTTGTATATCCACCAGTACAATCCACCATACCTTACAGGATCATTTTTCCAGTACACAATTGATACCTATAACAATTTTGTCTCCTCTTTATCACCAGAGTTTATTGTCTCTTGTGTTTTTTTTGCAATTTTTTGTCTTGGTTACGTTATTTAGTGACTTCATCAAGAGAGAGCAGTGGCTTAGGGTCACATGGGGGGTTATATGCTGTGGGTCATTTTCATTGGCTAATACAGTTTTATGGTTAACCTTTGCTAAGGTTGTTATAGTTTTGTTTTTTCCTATTTAATATATACAATCAATTCTTTGCTGCTAAGGAAAGAAGGAGATACGCTTAATAATAAGTAAATAGTAAAAGCTGGTAATTTGCTTGAAATGTAAACGGATTATTGAGTATTATAGGTCTCCAGCACTACAGCACATATAGCGCCACATGTGGCCCAGCCCTCTTCTACATATGATACATTTATTGCATGTTCCATGATTGGTTACTTTTAGATTAGAACGCTAAGGGGAAGAGCAAGCATTGCAAATCCCCACAGTATGTGACAGATTAATATCAGCACTGTTTGTGGTTATCAGACAGTGATGTGGAGACCCCATGCTGTACTGTATTTATTTTGTATTTATCTAGCTCCTAGCCAGGAGATTGCTGTTGAACCCAGTTTTGTTGGAGCCTTGTTAGACGTGTACAGTGCGTTGATTACCTCCTTCTGGGAAAGTGACAATCACAGTGAATTGCTTAACTTATACAAGGATGCCGACATTTGAATCACCCATTGCTTCCACCTACGGAAAACATTTTATTTTACATTCTACAGAGCTACGGGGTATCGAAGACAGTCATTCTCCACTTAGGCATCCAGGGGCCTATAACGAAGGGAATATAAAGGATCAATATTAATGGTGGTCTTTACTTACAGAGACAGTGGATTATTGCTATTATTCCATAGCTCTTGGTTATGTTGAGTGTAGGTTATGAGTAGCAACATTGAGCGTGATAGACAGAAATGGGCCAGCACTGTAGGTTTTTGGAGCCTGATCTTTAGCATCTGGGAGATGTTAGGACACCATCTAGATACAGATAGAAGTGTGAAGTGGTTTGGTATCACAGATTAAAAGGATTGTGTTATCTTATTTTAGTTATTGGGGCACAACATGAGCTTGTATTGAATATGTGAAGTTGGAATTTTAGTTAGCGTATGGAGGAGCTGCCGGGAGTGAGTGAGGGCATTGAGCTGCCGGGAGTGAGTGAGGGCATTGAGCTGCAGGGAGTGAGTGAGATAATTGATCTGCCAGGAGTGAGTGATGGGCTTTGAGCTGCCAGGGGTAACTGAGGGCATTGAGCTGCCAGGAGTGAGTGAGGGCTTTGAGCTGCAGGGAGTGAGTGAGATAATTGATCTGCCAGGAGTGAGTGATGGGCTTTGAGCTGCCAGGGGTAACTGAGGGCATTGAGCTGCCAGGAGTGAGTGAGGGCTTTGAGCTGCATGGAGTGAGTGAGGGCATTGAGCTGCCAGGAGTGAGTGACGGTGTTGAGCTGCCAGTGCTAAGTAAGGGCATTGAGCTGCCAGGGGTAGCTGAGGGCATTGAGCTGCATGGAGTGAGTGAGAGCATTGAGCTGCCGGGAGTGAGTGAGGGAATTGATCTGCCGGGAGTGAGTGAGGGTGTTGAGCTGCCAGTGTGAGTGAGGGCATTGATCTGTTGAATGGTCTGACAATCCTTACTTCATAGTAATAACTGAGGATCCGAGTAGAGATATACACTATAATAAGCACAGAGATTTAATAGTGAGCGGAGACACAGAGAACCTTCTAAGTCGGGATAAGGAGTTTGGATTGTATTCTTGGTGGAGAGAGGATCCAGTGACGGTCCTTGCAAAGTGGAGCAGCACAAGGCGAGGGGAACCAGCAATTCTGCAGCTGTTTGTATGGACCAAGGATGAATTAATAAATTATTTAAAGACCTAAAAAAGTTACGGGTGTCATAACGGGAGTGATTAGTGTGGGAGGTAGGACTATATCTTCTCCATGTTGTGTTGGCATAGCCAGGCCACACCAGGAACTGGGTATGAGAGACCAGGAATAGACACTGTGAAATATGACCCTGCAGCGTTATGGTCAAGCTGGGGTTCCCTTTGCAGCACCCCAGGAAGGTTTATGGTTTTTATTCTTTGTAACTCCCGTTAACTTTCTACATTCTTATAGCTGACAGATCATATTGAGCATTATAAATCCAAGGAAGGTTAGTGGCAGCAGTTTGACGCCTCTAAAACCATTCCAACATTCAGCTCAGTGGCAATGGAAGAGTTAAGTGATGGGAGTGATGGGAGTGATCCCTGTGTCACCCTTAATGTATTAAATGATGTGTCACCGGGTGCTGTCCAGTGTTGTGTAGCTCGGCAGAGCAGCAAAGCTGTCTTATCTTAATCAGGAGGCTCTGCAGGAAAATAGAGAATTTATCTGAAATGCTTGGGGAAGAGAAAATATTGCTGTGACCCATCTTAATGATGAAAAGGTCAGAGGAACTTCCCTTAGGGAAGGAGGCGGGGGAGAGAGAGAGAAACTGGTGTTATTTAAACTCAGAATTTATCCGGGCAGAATCCACGCCAAGGCGGCCATTTAAAGACTGATTCGCTGTGGCTGATCTCTCCAGACAAGAAAAAAAATCAACTACCACAGCAAGATTAAAATGTATAGGTGGTTTTAAAAGAGCCTGGTTTTGTAACTGCTGTGGGTCTGTAATGAGCGATCCGTCAGTATGGAATTCCTCGAATGATAGAGGATTGAAGAACACGTAACCGATATAATACAATTTGTGCATTAATTGGCCTAAAATTGACTAATTAGGATTTATTAACCTATGAAGCGCCAGTAGGTCAACCAACGGCATTATGTACGGGGTAATATATCATGGCAGATCACACGAAACCTATTCACTAAACACTGAGCTGGGATTAATTGACAACCGGCATGAGCATTTACCAACATGAGGAATTTAAACAATAAATCCAACTTGGGGACTTTTTACATAGAAACATAGAATGTGACGGGAGATAAGAACCATTCGGCCCATCTAGTCTGCCCAATATGTTAAAATACTTTCATTAGTCCCTGGCCTTATCTTACAGTTAGGATAGCCTTATGCCTATCCCATGCATGCTTAAACTCCTTTACTGTGTTAACCTCTACCACTTCAGCTGGAAGGCTATTCCATGCATCCACTACCCTCTCAGTAAAGTACAATTTGTATGTTTTAGTCTAAATATTGCAAATCAGTTCTCCCCTTTAACGTGTCTACGGAATTAATCTCACATTGGTTTGAAAGCAGTGATAATACTATCCATGGTTTATGAATGCACCTAATTTGTTCAAAACTCTTAGAGAGCTGGATGTGTGAACTTTGCAATATGCTCATTGGCCAGTGGTCTAGCACATAGGGTTAATGGCACTCCATACTGCAGGACATGACTGAGGAAGGAGATCAGCCAGTCCAAGGATCTGCATTTGATGATGTGCTGTGCAAGGAGAGAGGGAGATGTGTTTAAGAAGAACTTGGGGATGCACAATTGCGCTGAATTAAACGATTATCTGATCTGACAGCAGACAGCACTGAGACTTTTCCAATCCCATCGATCCACAGCTTCTGTCTGTCAGGAGAAGTTTAACGCTGCATTTGCTGTCTGACACAGAAGTCACGCGTGTGTGTGCGTGCAGGCATGTGTGTGTGCGCGTGTGTGTGCGCATGTGTATGCCAAAACAGAGAACGGCTCAGCAGGGCAGAAAATGTATTTTATAGTAACACAGCAACGCACTCCATAGTGCTGTAATATAAATAATAATTAATAATGTGAAAATGTCAGAGCGCGGGGTGTTTACTGGTTACACAACAACGTGACAGGAGGACTCTGAAAAAGGACTGTACAAAATGTTAATTCAATAAACTAGAGACTGCAGAGAAGTGACAGGAGAATTTAACTTTTTTAGGCTAAAATAATCAAGGTGGTGAGTTGGACTATTTTTACGCGTGTGATTACATTGAACTTTATTTACCAAACAGTGAATTTTAGTGAACTGGATAACAAACTGCAGAATTTAAGCCTGTCAGTGTGTTTCTTACTATACAGCAACAGGTTGTGTCACTCACAGCAGCTGGGGACTTTGTCTCCCATCATTCATAGCCAACTGATGTCTGAGAGCAAAGTATGTGAAGATGTGTGCCCAGCAGTGGCGGAATGCTGATTTCTCACGAGCCGAAAGATGGCATGTGGCTCAGGGGTTCCCCGGTGCCCAGACCCTCTGTTTTTGTTTATTTACAGATGATCTGTATTAATGAGGCCACTGGCATTTGGTGTCTGCAGACCGTGCATTTTAATGTGTCCACTGAAATGTCAGAGAGGCCTGTAAATTAGCATCTCAAACCCTCAAATGTGATCCAACGAAGACAATATTTACCTTCTGTTTATCAAGTCATTGGGAGCTTTGATACCTCAGAGACTTTTTAATTTAATGAAAATATTAATAATAATAGCAGACAGGAGAAAACTGGAATTAGAATACGCACACAAGTACATTTACACCAGGCAGATCATATTTTAATATCTCATACTTCATGACACAACGCAGTAAAAATAAAATAATGCAGTATATAACTGATAATGTGCAATGCAAAACCACTAACTACTATTAATTAAGACCCCTCTCCCAATATTGATATGCCAGGAGATGGGTTGCCTGTGTCTCCCAGTTCCTCTTCCAGCATATCTATAATGGGAGTAGTGCTGGATTAAGGGTAGCATCATCAAATAGCATCTGCTATCCAGTTCTGTAACTCCCAGCAATATCAGGCAGCAAAGGAGATGTATGACCCTTGGCCAAACCAAAGCCCTGACCCTAGGCTTAGCCTAAGTGAAGCATTTACCACGGTTGCTCCAATTTCTGAACTTTGCTACAAAACCAGCAAACTGTAATAGCTCTGCTTAACCCTTTGGTTTCTAGATGGAAATAAACAATGGCAATTTATTTCAAACTTAGAGGAAAAGCCACAGCATTTTAATAAGATGAATGGAAACACGAAATGTCATCATACACAGCATGACCTCTACAGGGGTCACATGACAAGATCTAGATTTGGAATCTGTGCCCGAGATAGTCCGCTCGATGAACAACTGGTTAAGCAGATATATCTTTTAATAAGATGTTGCGGTTGTGAAAGAGGCTATAGAGCAATTAGTGTCAGTAGGTTTGAAGAATGGGGATAGTTGTAGAAAAACCAAGGTAATCTCGGCACGCTCTTACATCAGCAATTTATAGGCGGTCAATGAGGGTGAAAGGAAGGAGACGGGAAACCATGAGAATAAAGATGGCAAAGGTGAGAAAGGAGACATAACAAAACACATAGCGACAGCTCTAGGGTTCTATTCACTAAACAGTGAGTTACGGTGAGTAAAAACCTGTCTTGTGATATCCCAGAAGCCAGTGCATTTTGCGTTGATTGCAGATTGCATTGCAATACTTAACCGAAGCAAAACTTTTCGGCATGTACAGCTTTTTAATATAATATTAATTTCTCTTTTATTTGTTTGTCCATTACTGAGAGATTAGGTCCATGAATAGTTTTAGAGACCCTATTGCAGGGGTGCCCAAAAAGGTAGATCCTCAGATGTTGCAGAAATACAACTCCCATGGTGCTCTGCATGCCTTTAGAATGCTTTAGAATGACAAACCATCATGGAAGCTGTAGTTTTAAAACATCTGGGGATCTACTTTTTTGGGGTACATTCTCTATCAAGGAATACTTTAGACATCTGAAATTGTGACTTAGAAACACAAGTGGTCACAAACTGTAAGTTTAACCTCCAAACGTTGGGATAGAATGTGGGAGGGTGAGCCGCAATTTACTGAATAGGTCATCACAGATAAGTTATATTCAGGCAGGGTTATTTAGTAAAGAGAGAATTCCAAGTGAATTTTACAATGGATTTGAATTTTAATGGCCACAGTAGCTGACCTGGAAGCACAGAGCAGCTTAGAGGATCTTTCAACTTTGCCCATTTTGACCTTAAATTTAATATTCACTTTGAATTCTCACTTTAGGTTAGGTATAACTGTTTATGTGGGTAGATTGGATTTAAATACTGACCCTTAAAAAACGTGCCGAGACAGTCTTCTTTACTTTCAGCTTCTACTGACTGCAATTCCCATCAGCCAAGGCTATTGGGAATAGTCCGGTAGTAGAATATCTGAAGTTAAAGAGGTCACCTAGACTTGTTAAGGAGTGAAGCCAGCAGGCTTCCCCTTCGGGAACAGCAATAAACACATCAGAGATAAAGTAGTAAATGGCTTTCTGTGCGCGGCTGCCATACACACAAATAATAAGGTCAAAGTCCCCTTCCTTTGCTTGTGTCTATTTGTTTAACATTGTCAATGTCAATGTTGGAAACATTGGACAGAGTCATATTTTGGTGTCTACTGACTGATTCTAGCAAAGAAATGGAATTCTTTTTATAAAGCAAATGAAATCTGATAATATCTAGATGAAAATGAGAAATTCTGCTGAATTCTCCGTCACAGTGTACCAGAGTTTGTCTAGAGCAGCTAATTTGGAAGCAATGCTCAGAAGTTCTATGGAGCAAGTATCAAAGGCCAGGAAATACCTCCCAAATGGTACCAGCTGTCCAAACACTGCTACCCCCTCAGATTCTATCACCTCTCCAAACACTGCGACCTCCTCAGATTCTATCACCTCCTCAAACATTGCTACCTCCCAAAATGCTGCTACCTCCCCAAACATTGCTACCTCCCCAAACATTGCTACTTTCCTCAAATTCTATCACCTCCTCAAACATTTCTATCTACCAAAATGGTGCTACCTCCCCAAGCATTGCTACCTTCTCAAACATTGCAACCTCCCAAATTCTATCACCTCCCCAAACATTGCTACATCCATAAACATTGCTATATCCACAAACATTGTTACCTCCCCAAACATTGCTACCTCCCCAAACATTGCTACCTCCCCAAACAGTGCTACCTCCCCAAACGGTGCTACCTCCCCAAACATTGCTACCTCCCCAAATGGTGCTACCTTCCCAAACATTGCTACCTCCCCAAACTGTGTTACCTCCCCAAATTGTGCTACCTCCCCAAACTGTGCTACCTCCCCAATTGGTGCTACATCCCCAAACTGTGCTACCTCCCCAAACAGTGCTACCTCCCCAAACGGTGCTACCTCCCCAAACGGTGCTACCTCCCTAAACATTGCTACCTCCCCAAACGGTGCTACCTCCCCAAACATTGCTACCTCCCCAAACGGTGCTACCTCCCCAAACGGTGCTACCTTCCCAAACGGTGCTACCTTCCCAAACGGTGCTACCTTCCCAAACATTGCTACCTCCCCAAACTGTGCTACCTCCCCAAATTGTGCTACCTCCCCAAACTGTGCTACCTTCCCAATTGGTGCTACATCCCCAAACTGTGCTACCTCCCCAAATGGTGCTACCTCCCCACACTGTGCTACCTCCCCAAACATTGCTATCTCCCCAAATGGTGCTCTCCTTATGGGGTGTGTATCTAGCTTGAATCTGCTTGATCACATTTGGATATTAATCATGTCACATACCCACGGAAAGAGGATACAAATCTGATCGTACCTTTTAGAATTAAACCCCTACAGGTCTTACAGTCCAGAGTTGTTATTGGTAATATTTATGACTCTAACATTTTTTGTATGCCAGATATTGTGGAATGCATAGGTCAATAGACAGAAACTGCTGTGTTGTTACTACGAATCACTGCTGAAACAGGATCTGCTTAGTATGGATACTGAATGCATAGTTCAAGACATAGAAGCTGCCTTCTTGTTACCAGTAATCTCTACGGTACTTTGATTTTCTTGGGGTGGATTGCTGAATAGGTGAAGATATAGAGACTGTTGTTTATGGTGATGTTGACTCTCACAGAAGCTGCCTTGCATAGATTGCTGAATGCATAGTTCGAGAGATGTAAATTACTGTAACTGCTTCTTTAATAGAATCAGTCTGATGTCGTTTGTTGAATACATTATTTGCGAGATAAGAGATGCCATATTTTTAATGGTGCTTTTTGCTGTTATAAGATATTTTTGTGTTAGAAGAACACACAAACACCATAACTACTACAGCCAGCTGTAGTGAATAGGAGTGTCCTGGCATCGTCTCATGGTGAGATATTAAAATATTTTAGTATGGATTGTCTGCATACCTGGGTATCACTGTGCACCCTTGCTGCATCTGTTCTTCTCCAGCAGGGATGCTAGATGCTGCTGTAGAGAAAGCATGGCCAATGCAGTTCCTCCGCCAGTAGCGTTCTGTAGAGCTTGAACTGTGTCAGATGCGGCAGCAGAGACCTGGCACAACCCAGGTAATTTGCTAACCGTGAAGTCTTAGTGTGACAATCATGGCACCATAACCACCACAGCAGGCTGTAACTGTATTTAGTGGCACAATGATTTCCATGGTTACAGACTATATACACTAGTTACAATATTAACAACTGATGAATAAACACTGAATAACATTTAGACTTTTAAAAGGAGCTTTTCAGACTTGTCACTATCACTATGGGCCATTCCAATATTTATTTACTAACTCTCCAGCCCAGTCTCTCTGTCTCTGAGAGTGAGGAGCGGAGCAGATCTGGGTAAGTTTTTCTGACAGCAGTGGGAATTTTGAGGTGAAATCTGCCAGATACGTTTTATTTCTTGCTGAGGGGAAATCCTACGGTATTCGAGACTCTACTTTGTTTTTCTCCAAGTGCCTCTCTGTACATCTTCCTGCTATTAATACTTAGAGAATAACTGCAATTTCTCGACAGCATTGAATAAAACATTGAATGCAACATATAACTTGTGTCAACCTGTTTCAGGAGAGGCTCCATTTTCTTTTTCAGTTATGTTAAATATTTAGCAAATGACATCACAGTCCAGTTCAGTCAAGGCACAGTCAGGGCACACAATACAAATGTGAAGGAGAAATAGTAACACGGTTTCATTTCTACTCGTATCTCTCTGCTGACTGCCAAGTTCGAAGGACAGAGCTTATAACAATGATTAACAAGGAGCCGAGATGGAAGCAACTATTTCTACATTTTATTTCATTGTTTAAACCTTACAGATATATACTTGTTAAAAATAAGGAAACAACAACAATGATATTAATAATTGTGGAAATCCAGTTCCCTTTTAAATAAAAAGATGCCCAAGAGATAAAAAAAAACCCTCGAGCTATTTGGAAAAAAAGTCACACGTTTTAAACTAACTTATCTAATTTGTTGCTTGTGTGAGACGTCTGAAAAGATAAAAATGGGTGCATGTGTTAAACGATTATGCAATCTCGATGGATCTTCTAATCTTTCTGTATCACTCTTGGACTTTACTGCTTCGACTGAAAGGCTATTCCAGGTATCTACTGCCCTTTCTATATCCCTGTTACTGCACCCACTAGAAGGCTATTCCAGGTATCTACTACCCTTTCCGTATCACTGTTACTGCTTCCACTGGAAGGCTATTCCAGGTATCTACTACCTTTTCTATATCACTGTTACTGCTTCCACTGGAAGGCTATTCCAGGTATCTACTACCCTTTCTATATCACTGTTACTGCTCCCACTGGAAGGCTATTCCAGGTATCAACTACCCGTTCTTTAAAGCAGTATATCCAGGAATGACCCCTTAGTCTTCTTGAGTGCTAGAATTATTAACTTAGCAAATATTTTATTTGACTCAGGTATTAACGTCTATTGTCAGTTAATTTACTGACATGTCACAGTATACGTTGTTGGCCCATTTACAGTTTCCTAATTAATCAAGTTTCTGAATACAGTTTGAAAAGGGAGCAAGCCTATGGTTACACTGGCTTTGTATGCTTTACTTTCTGTGGATCAGTAAATAGACTTGTAATGGATGAATATGACAGACGTGTGGCACCTTTAGATAATAAGTAGATTTTAAGCCAGACTTTAGTTATAGAAAACCTGGTACTGATCCAATTCTATTTATTATTGACTCAGCGCTGCTCCTTATCTCGTATGTTGGCATTATTGTGAAACAAACCATCACCATCAAGTGGCTGCAGAGATGGCAGTCCACACTTTCACACCCCTGGATTGATGCTACGTGGCAGAATTGAAGCACGTTCTACAGATGGAGCAGGTCACATTGAATTAAAGGGATGGGAAATTGGCTGCGGGGAGGAAGTCAGGGACAGCAGCAGCCTCTGAAAAGAAAAAAAAAAAGCAATTTTCCCACTGGAAATTCCTGATGGAATTACAGATCTGAAAGGCACTTTGTTATATTGTATGTGGCGTTGGGCGTGAGACTGTATGTGAGATAATCTGACAGATTTCAAGCACTTTATGGAGAATTCACGTGCGTGCTTCCGAATAAACCAAAGGAAAGTGCAATGCAGCAACTAACTAAATATTCTCAGCAATGGAGCTTAACCCTTCTGTTCTGAAAAGCTTACACTCCAATTCAAGTTCCGCTAACAGTTATTACAACACTAAGACAATCCTTAGCCTGATTTTAGTTGACCAAAATTTAACCAGAAATAAAAAAGTTACTCTTTGGTGGCTCATCAGCTAATTAGAGTGTTAAATGAGCAGTCACTGCCCTTATCTTCCTCTTATTGTGCATTACACCGCCATCAGTTCCTTCACTCCAGCCCCTACTTGAAGTGGGCCTTTCACACTAACACCTTCTTCGTGTTGGGATTAAAAAATACAAACTGCCGTATTTCCAGCTCTAGAAGTTGAAAACCAAATGTGAATCTGTTCATCAAACTGTGAATTTGAGCATTATGGAGATGATGCTATTAATATATTACAGATATGTCTTTGATTAGTTACGTAGATATTTAGGGTGGAAAAAAAGACTCAAATACATCGAGTTTAGCATCATAAAATCACATCTTATTTGTTGTTGATCCAAAAGAAGGCAAAAACCCCAATTCGAAGCAATGGCTAATTCTGACCCAAAGAAGCGAGGGGTATTCTTTTTGACTCCATAATGGCAGCCAGATTTCTCCTTGGATCAGCAACCTATTCACATACATTTAACTATGTCCTTGAATAATCTGTTTTTCAATAAATAAAAAAAATCTATAGAATTTCACGAGACAACATCTTAAGACATTTCATACTGTAAAACAAAAACTATTTTCTTCCAGTCTCAATGGATATTCTAAATATTCCTCTATCTTTTGGGAATTCACAGGATACTGCTCCTTCTCTGGTAATGTCCTCTTCTTTCTTGACAATCTCTCAGCCAAGCCTGGCCCTTCCTCTCAAATCTGGAGCGCGGGAAGGACGGGCTGGAAGGCAATGGACTTTACATTTTATGTAAAAAACATGCGTTCAGTTTCGTGAATAATCAGACTGTGTCTTTTGTGATGTTCTGTTGAATGTATTTTTGTGCATTTGGTGACCAAAATTCCCTTTTAAGTCATTGGTGGCCAAAACGTAGCTCTTTAAAGCTGTCAAAGTATCATGGGATTTGTAGTTTTACATCAGCTCCAAATCTACTCTTTGACCATCCCAGTTTAAAGTGACATTCCAGGCACCCAGACCACTTCCGCCCATTGGAGTGGTCTAGGTGCAAACTCCCACTACCCTTAACCCTGCAACTGTAATTATTGCAGTTTTCATAAACCACTAGAGGGCACTGCTGTGATTATAGCACATGAAAAGTGAGGACCTCCAGCATCACTGAAATCCCCATAGGAAAGCACTGAAAGCATTTTTCAATGCTTTCCTATGGGAAGGTCTAATGCGCGTATGCTGCATTGCCGCGCATGTGCATTAGGTCTCCCCCGCCAGCGGCCGCGCATGCTCAATAGGTCTCGGCGGGGGAGGAGCATGGGCGGACCCTGACCCAGCGCTGAGGGACATCAGCGCTGGATACAGGTAAGCCACTGAAGGGGTTTTAACTTGGGATGGGGCTAGGAGGGAGAGGGGAACTGGAACTGTCACTGGAGAGTCCCTTTAAGTCATGGGTCCTGTGAATAAACCAGGATAGATAAGGGAACACACGCAGGGATAATACATTCTCTTTGTGTGGGTCAGTGTGACATAGTTACAGATGAGGGGTGCACTAAAAGGTTAGTATGATGGTGTATTATAATTTCTATTGATGTTGTTTTTATGGTTTGTATATATGTTGTGTGAATACGTACACACGGATGCCACTATAAATAAATAATGCAATTTACTAAATGCATTATCACTATAAGCAATTACGGTAAGTAAATAATAACTTATCAGTGGTATAGTGAGGATACCCTTTAGAAAACATAGCTTAGCATAATGGATACTAATGAACTACAGCATGACAGTGTAATATCTGTATTGTTGTCTCCATTCGGAAGAAGCTCTTTGCATGTGTCTCCATTTGTATGGGTTGTCATATGCTCCAGGATTCCTCTTGTTATAAAGCAATGGGTATCCCCTCCACCTCAACTATCCTGGAATTTACTGGATCATGGACTCCAGTTTATCTGGCCTTTATATCTCTCTGGGCCCTTACTGAGATCCTAATTCCTCAGCTCATCCTAGAACCCACCCAGTATACTAAAGTCACAGCTTATCTGGCCTCTATATCACCCTGTGCCCTTCCTGGGATCCTAAATCCTCAGCTTATCCTAGAGCCTCCACCGTATCCTAAATACACAGCTTATCTGCCCTCTAGCTCATTCTGGGCCCTTCCTGGGATCCTAAATTCTCAGCTTATCCTAGAGCCTCCACCGTATCCTAAATACACAGCTTATCCTAGAGCCTCCCCAGTGTCCTAAATTCACAGCTTATCTGGCCTCTAGCTCACTCTGGGTCCTTCCTGGGCCCTAAATCCTCAGCTCATCCTAGAGCCTCCCCAGTGTCCTAAATTCACAACATCTCTGGCCTCAAGCCCATTCTGGCCTCTCTGGGATCCAGAACCCTTATTCTTCTTGTCTATGACTCATGCAGTCTCCTCGATCTAGCTCTTACTGTGTGTATCACTTTTGATGTAAATCTGCTATAAACCTGTCAAGTTGCAAGTATCATGATTTACTACATGTAAGCGGGGAAACAGTTTTCTAAATATCAGAGGCTAAATCGCTTGGTTTCATTACGGTGAGACTGGTACCTCTTCCATCCAGGAAGAATGTTGTACATCACTTAACATAATCATATCATATCATATCATATATGTAATTCATACCAATGTCACACAAAAAAATTAAACAAGGACTATGAATAATACTCATTTAAAAAAAACAAAACACATATTACCACGGAGTAAGTAGAAAATTATTATTTTTTATTCACTTTTTCATGAAAACAATAATAATGAGAGCTTGATTTTCTGATGAGGGAATTGCCATCAAAACAGTAGAAGCAGGAGCTTTATTTGAAAAATATCTTTTGATCTGTCTCTCTTTGTCAGGTGATAAGTTCTTGGCAGTTGAACTACCTTGGGTATGTAAGAAACGGTAGCAAGCAGCCACGCATTCATGGTCGCAGAGCTCCTCGCGGGATACGGAAAACATTAGCATACCTAACTGTAAATAGAACAGAAAATATAATTCAAACTTATTGCTAAACACAATTTATTGTTCATGCGCGATGGTTGCCTAATATGAAGACTTGCAGTGAACGGGAGACATCAAGCATTTTCTTAATCTTTCTGTGACGATCTGGCTTTGTGTGATGGAATATCTTTGGCAGGGTTGTTGGACTGTGACCAGTCTTCTTTCTTTGATGCTATTGAACTAAAAACCTTATAGTTGTTTTCAAACCTTTTCCTGAAACACGTCTGTGTTCCATTCTTCATCACAGCATTGTATTGACGGTAGCATTGTCCAGGATCCAGTACTTGTGATCATAATATTCCATATTAATTAAGAACGATTGATCAGTATTGAGCAAATTAAACTATTAGAGATAGTTAAGATGGCGTCGGTACACAATACTGGAAATGTTAATAAAACCACAAAACACAGCACCAGAATGACTCATGCACAGCTTCACGATATAGTTATGAGAACAGAGCTAGCTTTTTAAAAAGATAAAAGATAATTAACCGCACAGACCTGGCATGGTATTGTTGGTGGAGCTGGACAGCCTGGCCAGCTGCAGGTCCCATCCAATGCTTTTGCAAGGTCTTTGCTGGGCTGCACTGATAAGGAGATTTGATGGAGAAGAATAGACTTTCCATCCCATTGGTAAACTTATAAAAGACGAGAAAACTTGGCACTCGCTTGGAGTACCACCCCCCGTAATACGGACGCGCATCGCTGGTTCTGCTGATTCCTAGTAAGAGAGGGTCCCCTTAAAGCCTGACTGCCAGAAGTTCTCTCAGTCGAGTGCAGCAAGCTTCTCTTATGGTGATGTATACTTAAGCGGATATCTAGATAATTGAGCTGTTCCTTTAAGCTGCATGTGCACTATAGATTAAATGTTATTACTTATTTATTAAGTCTCTGTTAGTCAATAGAGTTTGTATTGATTATTTACAAATACTTGGTGTCAGTGTCTTTCCCTTTCTCAAATACTCAATTCACTCATGGTGGCCACCAATATCTGTAAAAACCTTAGGGTAATTAAATATTTCTTTTTTTGATATTGGTGCTTCATGAATTTAATACAGTACTTGACAATCTTCCATTTACAAGACTTAACAAACCACTCCACACACCATAACTACTACAGCACATCATTATGGTCATGATATTGATGTTTTCCTCACTACCATTTATTGTAGTGGTTGTGGTGTACGGTGTGTAGGGCAACCATGTCAAATTTGAGGCCCACGGGCTGCATGCGGCCTACAATGAATGTCTTGCGGCCCACCTATCCTGGGGCCACTTTGTGCTGTAGCTGTAAATAGCCACAAGTCAGGAAAGATCTTTCCTGTCTGCCTTACCATGGCATATCATGTGCTCCGACAGCCGCAAGAGAGCTAAGCATTAGTCCACGCCGGCCACCGGATATGCGTGTACAGCATGTAAAGTCATACCCGGCGGCAGCGCTACAGTGAGCAAGGTTGCTGGCTGTCTGCAGAGCAAGTCAGTCACTCCCCCTTCCCTCCAGCTCGCAGTGCCAGAGAAGCATCTGGCCTGCTTGAACAGAGAAGAGCAGGGCTGGAACTGGAGGAAAGGCAGCTCATCTTAAAGTAGGGGAACAGAGGTTTGGGGGACCTGCCTGTGTAGTGTGTTAAATTGGGGAGTGGGGCAGTGTATTCAATTGGAGGAAGGGGAGCAGTGTGTTAGAGTGGTGGGTGGCGGTGGTGTCGGGTGTATTCAATTGGGGGAGGGAAGACATTGTATTCACTTAGAGTAGAGGGAGTGTATTAGATTAAGAGGTAGTGTATTAGAAATGGGAGAAGGAGGCAGTATATTGGAGTGGAGGGAGGGGGCAGTGTATTAGATTGCGAGAAGGAGGCAGTGTATTAGAGTTAGAGTTAGAGGGATAGGGGCAGTATATTAGAATGGGGGGCGGGCAGTGTATTAGAATAGGGGAGGGGCAGTTTATTAGATTGGGAGAAGGAAGCAGTGTATTAGATGCGGGGCAGTGTATGAGAATGGGGGAGGGGCAGTTTATTAGATTAGGAGAAGGAGGCAGTATATTAGAGTGGAGGGAGGGGGCTGTGTATTAGAATGGGGGAGGGGCAGTGTATAAGATTGGGTCTGCATGGAGGCGCTGAACACTCCTCATGGAGATGCTGATTGGCCGCGTTTTGTCACACATGCACAATAGCCTCCCAATACTTTCCTATGGGAAAGCACTGGGTTGACTGAGATCATCAGTTTTGATGATCTCAGCCAAAGTAAAGAACATATTCGCAGGATTTTAAAATCAACAAGATAACGTAATTAGTTTTTTTACAGCTGTGCAACATTCACCACTTCAGTCCCATTACCAAACTTTTCTTAATATGTCGAGGTAATTGGATTGAAACATTGGTTATATGCAAATGCACGTTTTCTTAAAATAAATTCTCTCTTTCATTTACCTTGAAGCCCAACGAGTGTGAGGACGTCCAGTGTCAGTTAGGCAAATTTTGATATACTGAACTTTTCAAAATAAACCTATGTTTCTATAAAAACTGAAGTTTTTGTTTTTTTGCAGCCCACTTAAACTTAAACCTTGTTTATTTGGCCTGTGTTAGCATTTGAGTTTGACATGCTTGGTGTAGGGCAGGCATTGGCAACCTTCGACACTCCAGATGTTTTGAACTACACCTCCCATGATGCTTTGCCAGAATAATTGGGGGAAAGAGGATTATGGGGAATGTAGTCCACAACATCTTGAGTGCAGAAGGTTGCTTTTTCTGATGTAGGGTGTAGTCTTTCTGAGCAAGCTAGACAAAAACTTCAGCTCTCCCAGATATCTTGGCATTTAACACACATTTGGATGACAGTGATAGGCTGTGAAATTCAGAGACAGTTTCAGTGTGGCTGGGCTTTGAATGACTGGAGAAATCCCATTTTTTGTCACTAATACAATACATTGTAGTAATACAATATGCTGAAATAATACAAAAAGCAGTAAAGATGCAATTAGCTGTAATAATAAAATGAGTAGAGTGGATACAATGCTTAAAAGTCTCCTTAATAAACAATATATGTAATTTCTGTGGGTGGGTTAACTATAGTGCAAACTGATATGAAGAAATATTGTTGAAAAGAAAATGAAAGATGGGTCCTTAAAAAAGAGCAGTGTTTATAAGATACACATTTCCTATTCATTTTTATTCTTATGTTTCGTTTTGTCCTGGTTATGTCAGCGATCTGAGGTCCTGTTGGCTGCAGGGTGATTTTGTTAGCCAACAGGACGCTCAACCAGTTAGCTAAGAAATAAACAAAACAGATTTCAAAATCTCTGATAACTAGGTCAAAAAGTTTCATGAATACTTCCGTCTACTAAACTTTCCTTCTAAAAGACTGTGTAACAAATAAAGAAGGTAAAGTCCACGTTTCTGGTTTAAAACATTGTTTATCTTTACGTTCTCTGCCATTTTATTAACCACGATGCATTATAAGATTATTTTATATATTGCGGGATAGTTGTATAATTCCTTGTACAGGTAAAGTTTCTCTCTGTATGGCACTTTACAGTATTTCCAGGAAACAAACAGGAAATCAAAATCTCAGCAATTTGGCAAGTTTAATCCCAAACAGGTTTTATATGGAAATCCACAAAGAAGAGAACTTTCAAGATAATCTCGTATCGATAGTGTGGGAATATATATTTTAAGGAGTATATATTTATTTGGCAAAACGTCATACATATAGTCAGGCCAGAGTATAATAAAAATGATATGGTACTTTTAATTAATAGGATGAAGTCCGCATACAGAAAACATGATAATAAATCATTATTGAGACTATGCAAAGGTGATAAGGAAACCATTAGCACTATTTTCATGACTGAGCTGGGTACTAGATCACTGGACGCGATTTATACACGAAGGGTTTCTCAACAATCTGTTTTCTTTTAACTGCTTCAATAAATGTGTGTTTTTACATTTTCCTTACATTGACATTTAATTTTAATGGGTTAAGGGGTGCAGTAGGTGCTGTGGTTGGCTAGGAATATATTTCGACATCATTAGATTATCTGTTGATATTATTGTACATCCTGAGAAAGATTATTGAAAATGTATTTCTCTTTTGTGTTATGAGCTAATCCTAAACCATTTATTTATTCTTCCGTTTGGCCCCCGCTGTTTTCCTCCCAGGCTTCGCGTAGACTTGTTCAATA